TAATTACATCACTTGAAACGATGTGAGTACTTTATTTGGTTAGAGAATGGGTGGGCGCTGGAGACAGTGCAGTGCGGCAGAAACAATACCGTCAGTCACTTCATTTCCAGCTATGTCCAATTGACTTTGTACTGCTATGAGGAAACCACAAGAGTATCAGGTCCTTGTGTGGGTTCCTAGCTTCTGAAGCTGTAGCAGTTCACCTTTAGCTGGAATCCGTTAAAGCTTGCAGTAGTCCAAGTAGGTTAGGTTCCCTATCTGGTTCTTAACAGTAAGTTTGTTAGATCATCAAAACATAAGGCAAGAATATTTAAAATCTATCAATTTCCCCCTTTTTGATGATGACAAACTTAACATTTATAGAGTGAAGTTAGAGCAGTAAGAACCAGTTTAAGTATCAGAGGAACACAGAGTTCCCCCTGAGACTATGCCTTATCGTAACAATAGTTCCCCCATGTGTTCCCCCTGAGTTGATGGCCGTCCGTATTATTTTTCCCCATTTTGGCATCATTAATAAAATAGAATAACAGCACAAAGAAGTCCAGCTAAGCTAACTCATGCCACATATGTGCACACAATCATGATAGAGAATATGACACAAAAAGAGAGTACTGACATAATAAAATGAGGATTGATATTAATAAAGTTTTAATATGCCTCTGCTTTGAAAAAGCGAGAGGCAACATTGGACTTGTTAATGGGAGCAGTAGTTTTTCATTCCAACAACACAAAAAAAAAAACATCCGCCAAACCATAAAAAAATATAACAAACATATCCAGAAACTGATCACTGAAGGGGTACTTAGGGGGAACTAGGAGTAAAAAGGCTTGGTAGCTGCAGCAAGTGTTTGGAGAACGAGGTCTATTCGGGCGTTTGCCGACTTTTGCTCATTGAGCAGTTCTGCTTTTAGGTTCTCTACTTGCGCCCTGAGATCAGCATTCTCCTGTGTCAAACGAGCCACTTCATCATTCGACATTGGAACCCCTCGGGCCTGCTGACCTTCCAGGATAGCATTCCTGGCCTTGAACCGACAAATTTCCTCAGCTGCACTGTTCTGGGCATTGATAAGTTGTGAAACAGTTGATGTACTTCCTACCCCCCATACTTTTTCACACACTCGCACTCTTCCAAAGTCGTATGTGAGAAAGTCTGCTTTCGAGTTCCCACTTTGCCCGTCCCTAGTGGGACTTTAAAGAATTTGAACACTGGAGTAAGCAAGAATCCATAAGGAAGGCCATGATTACCGTCTTTGAAGGTGGCAACCTTTTGCATGTGTTTAATCATAATACCAGGTAGGCTCACAGGAGTAAAACCGTCCAGTTACTCCATTAGGAATAGGTTAAACTTATAAGTCACTGACCTCCTTTCAGCTCGAGGCAATAGAACTTTGTTAACCAATTCAAACAGCAGCTGGTAAATAGGGAGTAGTGCTTTCTTATGGATCTGGTCCCCTTTCTGGTTAGCATTGTCTTTTACCACTACATTTCTGAAGTTATACTGACACACATCTCTTACACTGGACACACCAGCTGTAGGAACTTTTAAGATCTCTCCAAGCAATTTTACATCAAAGACGATGTCCACCCCATTGACCAAAGCACAAACATGGTCAGTATCAACTGGAAAGAGGCTAGCAAAGAAAATTTGTACTTCCTCCTCATATACCTTAGGTGCATCAATTTGAAATAGATGCACCCAACGTTGAAACTCGATCGTTTCTAGAATTTGGCACATTCCAGCCATCTCAGAGATTGCTGGGTCAAACGTACGACCCAACAGAACTTTTGGATGCCTCAGGCGCTCAAAGCCAAGGCTGACTTCACTTCTCATTTTCTTCATAGAAATAGGTTCTTCAAAAGATTCAGACCTGCGTTTCCCAGACTTCTCTCCACTGACTTTTCCTTTTCCCTTGGATTTGACTAGGACATCCTCATCAGACATGGAAAACTCACTCACCACCTCTTTCATCTTAGACCTAGATGTTGACCCTTTCTCTAATGAAGTAGGCTTCGTCTTTTTCGAAGATTGTCTAACAAGTGAACCAGGTTCATCTGGAGTTTTCTCTTCCACTTCGACTATAGGGATCGCCTCACCACTTACAGGTACACCATCTTTCACCAACTTTCTTCTTTTCTTCTTACTACTCTTCTTGCTCCTTTGAAGAGCAGAATCGTAGGCCACTTTAACTTGAAGCCTGGTAGTAGGTCGTTTGATTTCAGACTCAGGGGTGGACACAACCCTCCGCTTACTTATGAATGCATCAAGAGACACATTACCCAGGTCTTCTTCATCACTGGATCTCATTTCAGGTGCTTGAATTTCCAGGGGCACAATATCGAATGCAGGAATAGCACTTTCCTGGGGATGAGAGCCCTGATCTGGGCCCTCCAGAGAGGGATCAGGTTCCTCATATGATGCCCCAGTAGTATCTTCTATTGCATCCCTTCAATAGCTACAATGGCCCCTTCTTACTCCACACTTTGTGCCTCATTTTTTGAGATGTAATCTCATGTAGTACACAATTAGCAAATACCACAAAAACGGTAACAACATTTTTCTCTTCCTCAACCGGTGCTTCTACCACCATGGAATCGGTGGCAACGATGGCAGAACTCTTTGTGACCTCAGGACTTTGACCTTGTTCTCCATTTAGGGTTTGACAGGTGGGAACATAAGATGACTAGGAGAATGGAGCAGTAGGTTCAAAGGTTTCTGAATTGGGAAGAGGTTGGGAAACCAGGGAAGGGGTGACTGTAGCAACAGGAGTAATAGAGGGTAAGGAAGGCTCAGTGAGAGCGGAAGATTCCATAGATTGATCAGTGGTAGTGGCAACTGAGACAGGGAGATCAGAAGTCATCTCAGCCATTGAAAGAAGTGGTGTGACGATCCTCCTTTTTGGGTGATTTTAGTGTAAGACTTATGGTTAAGAAGAGCAGAAGAGAGGGGTTTTTTAAAGGAGAGGATAATTATGAAGAGAGAGGAATAGGCACCGGTTCTAAAATGGTGGTTGGGCGTGGAGAATTACAACGTTTCAAAGGGAGATGGAACGATTTGAAATGATGAGATGTGACAGCAGGATCTGAAAAGTTGATAACATGGTAGTTGTATTCTGTACCCTTTTTTAAGACATGTATTAAAGGATGTACATAACTACTAACCTTTGGTACAAGAACCAGGTTCTTGACCCTTTTTTTGAAAAGAATCAATCCTCTTTTATCATTCATGCACTACATCTATCGCCTCTATGCTCATCATGTGTGTTTACCTACAACAGTATTGAAGTGAGTTAGGCATGGCCAGAAAACACTTTGAGCCAGTTATTTCTTAAAGGTAAAATCCAGCTAAAGAGGAATCAGGTTCTCAATTTGGCTTCAACAGCCCCAGCTTCACTCTGTTTCTTTCAAACTGTTCCCTACTTAGCGCCTTGGTGAAAATGTCTGCAATTTGATATTCTATGCTGCAAAACTTCATACATATAAGCCCTTTCTCCACATTGTCTCTCAGAAAATGATGCCTCACATCAATATGTTTTGTCCTTTTGTGTTGAACTAGATTCTTGGTCATGTTGAGTGCACTGGTATTGTCACATAGAAAGGGCACACTCTTAGTGAGTACCTTAAAGTCCTCCATTTGCAGCTTGATCCATAGAAGCTAAGCACAACAGGATGCTGCAGCTATATATTCAGCTTCAGCTGTTGAAAGAGCCACTGAATTTTGCTTCCTTGTACCCCAAGACATAAGACATGAACCTAAGAAGTGAGCTATTCCAGAAGTGCTTTTCTTGTCCACAAGATAACCTGCATAGTCTACATCAACATACCCAATCAGATTAAAACTATCACCTGATGGATAATACAACACCAGGTCCTGTGTTCCTTTGAGATATCTCAGTATTCTTTTGGCATCCTTCAAGTGAAATTCCTTGGGATTTGATTGAAACCTTGCACACAGCCCCACACTGAAAACAATAACAGGTCGACTGGAAGTGAGATAGAGGAGAGACCCAATAATGCCTTTATACATGGTTTGATTCATAGGAGCTCCAGTTTCATCCATGTCCAGTCGAGTGGCAGTTGCAATGGGAGTGTCTATCACCTTTGATGCTTCCATGTCAAACCTCTTCAAGAGCTCCCTGATGTATTTTTGCTGACAAATGGATATACCCTTTAGGGACTGTTTTACTTGAAGACCCAAGAAGAAGTTTAGTTCCCCCATCGTGCTCATTTCAAATTCACTTCCCATGAGTTTTGCAAATTCTTCACACAAAGAGTTAGCTGTTGCTCCAAAAATGATATTATCAACATAAACCTGAAAAATGAGCAGGTTCCTTCCTCGTTTCTTTAAGAAAAGAGTATTGTCAATTTTCCCTCTCTTAAAACCATTTCAAGGGGAATTTTGACAGTCTTTCATACCAAGCTCGATGAGCCTACTTTATCCCGTACACAACTTTGTCCAGTTTAAACATATATTCAGGGTGCTCATGACATTTAAACCCTGGGGGTTGCTTCACATATACTTCTTCCTTAAGGAGTCCATTCAAAAATGCACTCTTCACATCCATTTGGAACAAGGTGAATTCCATATGAGATGCAAAAGCGATTAGAATCCTAATAGCTTCTATGCGAGCCACTAGAGCAAATGTTTCATCATAGTCAATCCCTTCCTCCTGATTGTAGCCTTGGACCACTAGCTTGGCCTTGTTCCTTGTGGTAATTTCATGTTCATCGAGCTTGTTTCTGAATACCCACCTAGTTCCTATAATGGTTCGATTTGGGGGTCTAGGTACCAGGTGCCACACATTTTTTCTCTCAAACTGATGCAGCTCGTCTTGCATGGCTGTAATCCAATCTGCATCTTTCAAGACTTCTTTGATATTTTTGGGTTCTATCTGGGAGAGAAAGGCTGAGAAGGCAAGTGAATTTCTGGCTCTTGACCTGGTTTGTACTTCGGAATCTAGAGGAGTGATAATGTTGTCTATTGGATTAGAGCTTTGGTGTCTCTAATTAGATGCCTGAGGTTCATTATGAGAGGATGAGGATATGTTTGGCTGATTTTCTTCTATCCTTCTCTCCGGTGCTAGTGGAGTTCCCAGAACTGCATCAACCACTCTTTCTTCAGCTTCAGTGGTTGTGATTGAAGTGTTTGGTTCTATTAAAGATGAGGTAGCATTGTCTTCATTTGGCTCCTTAACTTGACTCATCATATCTGTCTTTCCATTTGTCATATTAATGACTTCACCAGGAACTAGTGCGGGTTCTCCGTCTTGATCTTACTCACCACTCTTCTCAGTTGATGGATAAGATTCATAAAAAATAACATGAACAATTTCCTCAACATATTGAGTCCGCTTATTATATATCTTGTAAACCTTGCTTTGAGAGGAGTAGCCCAGAAATATTCCTTCATCACTCTTGGCATCAAATTCACCAAGCTGATCCTTTCCATTGTTGAGAACATAACATTTGCATCCAAATGTTCTTAGGTGAGTCAACTTGGGTTTCCTTCCATTCAACAGTTCATACGGGGTTTTGTTCAGAAGTGATCTGATCATGCACCTGTTCACCAAGTAGCAGGCGGTATTGACAGCTTCAGCCCAGAAGTTCTTTGAAATTCCTCTGTCGATCAGCATTGTTCTTGCCATTTCCTCCAGAGTTCTTTCTTCCTTTCTACTACTCCATTTTGTTGGGGAGTTCTGGGAGCTGAGAAGTTGTGTGTGATGCTATTTTCATTGCAGAAATCATCAAATTTGACATTGTCAAATTCTGTTCCATGATCTGATCTAATGCATGTGACTCTAGATTCCATCTTCACTTGGATTTTCTTCACAAAGGCCACAAATACCTCAATAGTTTCATCTTTGGTTATGAGAACTAGAGTCCATGTGAATCTAGAGTAGTCATCTACTACCATGAAAATATATCTTTTTCCTCCTCTGCTTTGTACCCTCATAGGTCCACACAGATCCATATGCAGAAGCTCTAGTGGCTTTAAGGTGCTCACATCTCTTTTAGGCTTAAAAAAGGACTTCACTTGTTTTCCTCTAGCACAGGCATCACAGACTTTTTGCATCTTGAATTGTGACATAGGCAGACTATGGACCAGGTATTTCTGAATTAGTTTGTCCAGAAGAGAAAAACTTGCATGCCCAGTCTTCTGCGCCATAGTTCAACTTCATCATCAACAGCTTTCAGATAACTCAGATCACCATTCTGTAAGGACTCGAAGTTAGCGACATAGATGTTCTTATATCATTTGGCCATAAGTACTATTTCACCGGTCACAAGATCAGTGAATGTACATATTTTGGACAAGAATTCTACCTTATTTCCTTTGTCACAGATTTGAAAAACACTCAAGAGACTGTACTTGAGGCCATTTACATAGTACACATTTTCAATAGAATGAGTGAGTGACTTTCCGACTTTTCCAACTCCAAGAATGTACCTTTTTTTGCCATTGCCAAAGGATACACTCCCTCCTTATAGGGCTTTTAGTGAAAGAAAGTCCGTGGCGTTCCCAGTCATTTGTTTTGAACACCCACTATCCATGAACCATTATTGGCCGCTTCCTTTCACTGTTCCCTGCACAAGAGATTAAGAGTTAGTTTTAGGAACCCAAACAAGTTTGGGTCCCTTGTAGTAAGCAAGAGGATGAATAAGAGTTCTCTTAGTCCATGCAGGTAATGTGCAGCTTTTGTGAGTAGAACCTGGTCCCTCGTTTGTAATCACCGTTTTAGCAAACACTTTATTTTTCTGAACTGGTTGATTCTTGGCCTGGACATCTTCCTTGAAGCACCCAGTGTTACCACATCGGGTACACGACCAGTTATCAGAGATAGTGACGTACTTACTGTGAGGGTTGTGAGGAGTTTTCTCCCTTTGGAACCCTACTCCCTGCTTGTTTTTACAATCATTAGTATGCAAGGCAGTGGTAGCATCTGAGGACCAGGTCCACTTTAGTGACTTTTCAAGATCATTCTTTACTTTTTCCAGATTAGTTTGGAGAAGCTCGTTTTTTTTTCAATTTCAGCACACATCCTAAATCTCATAGCTTTCACCTCATTTTTAAGCCTAATGTGTTCCTCACTTGCTATCTCCTTTCCCTTTCCAGAACTTTCAGGTTTTGACTTAGTCCATGGTTTCACTATTGTTTCCCTTAGGTCTGTAACTTCTGCCAACATATCACTCTTTTCTTTTCTAAGGATTTTAATGGTTTTCTTATGGTCAGTAACTACAGCCACTAAGTCATCTCTAGTTTGTTCAGATTCTCCTAATTCTAAGGTCAAAGAGTCCCTATCCTCCACAAGACTATGAAAAGCAGTGATTAAAACATCGACTAAAGACATGAGTTTTTTTTAGAGAATGGGATTTCAGATTTCTCTGAACATCCCTGAAGTTTAACTCTTTGTTGCCATTGTCTTCATCATCATCTGATTGAGACATCAAAGCAAAAGTTGAGTCATATCCAGTCTTTTCGCCTTCAACTGCCATCATGGAACTATCACCAATATCAGGTTCATCTTCAGACTCACTAGATGAATCCCTCAATGGTGCAAGAGCTTGTCTTATCATTTTATCTGCAGATCTTTTTCTCTTGAAGTCCTTGACAGGAACCAGGTTCGTCTTAGCTATTTTCTCATGATGGTTCTTGGAGAATTCTTGCTTCAGGAGAGGACAGTCTTTCATGAAGTGTCCAGGCTTTCCACACTTGTAACAAAGATCCCAGTTTCTTGGTCTGATAGAAATGTCCCTTTTTAGCATTTCTCCATTCCTTTCGACCATCTTCTGAAATATTTTGGTTAGGTAAGCCATGTCACTGTCTTCCTCACTTGAATCATTGTAATCAGCTTTAAGTACCAGGTTCTTTTCCCTTTTTGGTTCTGTTCTTTCACTATTTATCTTTTTCTTCAACTCACGGGTCTTTAAGTTTTCGATCAGCTCTTCTACGGTCATCTCTAGCTTGTTTCTGGGAATGATTTCATCAAGGGAGTGTAACTCATTTATGATGGAAGTGAATCTCGTATGCATATCTTGAATGGATTCATCATCCCTCATTTTGAAGTGTTCATACTCGGCAGTGAGCATGCCAATCTTAGACTGTTTTACTTGTGTAGTTCCCTCATGAACTATTTGTAAAGCTTCCCATATCTCCTTGACAATGTCATAAGTGGAGATTCTATTGTACTCTTTAGGTCCTATTCCATATACTAGAATTTTCTTGGCACAAAAATTCTTCTCCACAACTATCTTGTCTACTTCAGTGTACTCTTTGCTAGTTTTTGCCATTGAAAATGGAAGTTCCTTTAGTACTCTGGTTGGAACATAAGGACCATCACATATGATATACCACAACTCACAATCCTCAGCCATGATAAAATCGTGCATTCTTGCTTTCCACCACCCATAGTATTGTCCATTGAACTTGGGTGGTCGGTATGTAGATTGACCTTCTTCCAGATTTGGTAGGGCGGTCATGAGGATCCTTCCTAGGTGTTAGCCTGATAGAAGAAACCTGCTCTGACCAATTGTTAGTTTGTATGAGTCCACCAAACAGTAGAGTACCCGGTCCTCTACAAGATTCTGCTGAGAATGCTAATAAAACAGTATGTAAATAAGGCAATGGATTTTTACATGGAAAAATCCCACACAAAGGGATCCAAAAACCACGACCTACACCTGTACGCTTTTAACTTCACTAACTTGTAAATAACCTATTACAAGCCACTTTACAATGACTCCATTGCAAAGGATTTACTCAACTAACTTGTGGTACTCTTACGATAAGCCACTTTGTGACTTCCTAGTTACAAAGGTTTTTTCTAACTTGTGATGCTCTCACCATAAGCCACTTTGTAACTCTACAATTACAAAGACTTTTGCTTATAACTAAATCTAGTCACAACATAAACTCAAGGAGTTTATGGATTTAGAAGAGGATTCCTTATCAAACGCTTCTAACTAAGCAGTTTAGGAGATACAATAAGCACAATAACAAAGTTACAATTCAACTAGGACAACAACGAGCTATCTTTTAGGAACTAGTTCGTAGTTGCATTCAACTTTGTTCTTCAAGCTTGAGAGGATTGATTTTTCAGTTTTGGCAAGAAGCTTGAATAAGAAACTGAAACCTTCAAGTGATGTTTTGTATAAAACTCATTGTAGGAACATCTTGATCACATCACTTGAAATGATGTGAGTAATTTATTTGGTTAGAGAATGAGTGGGCGCTGGAGATAGTGCAGTGTGGCAGAAACAGTGCCATCAGTCACTTCATTTCCAGCTGTGTCCAATTGACTTTGTACTGATATGAGGAAACCACAAGAGTATCAGGTCCTTGTGTGGGTTCCTAGCTCCTGAAGCTGTAGCAGTTCACCTTTAGCTGGAATCCGTTAAAGCTTGTAGTAGTCCAAGTAGGTCAGGTTCCCTATCTGGTTCTTAATAGTAAGTTTGTTAGATCATCAAAACATAAGGCTAGAATATTTAAAATTTATCAGTAGGAGTTTGAAGTTCTAAAGTTCATTAAACTTGAATTGGGGTGTGATTCATGATTTTGATGATCTTTGATGTGATTTGAGCCTCGAGCAGGTCCGTGTTATGTTATGGGACTAATATGTGTGATTGGACGAGGCCTCGAGGGCCTCAGGTGTGTTTTGGGGTGGTTTCATGTCATTTCGAGCTGTTTTGCAATAGCTGATGCTGGTGTTTGGTGGTGTTCTTCGAGTTCACGAGGATCCTCTCGCGTTCGGGAAGAAGGATTTGGCTTCTGGGATTTTATTCTTTGCGTTCGCGAAGAAGAAAATTTCTGTTACACGTATCTGATTTCGGAGACTCATATCTCATAATATATAAGGAATTTAGAAATGATCTAAAAATAAAAGTTGTATCCCTTTGTGTCTAGTTTTCATAAAGGTAAACCATTTAGCATTTGGATTTGTGTACAAAAAGTTATGGCTGGTACACTATAGGTTGTTCGGGAAGATGAAGAAGAAATTTGTGTTGAACAGGATGACTTTGACAGCTATATCTCAAAATCTATAAGGAATTGGGAGATGAGCAAAACATGAAAGTTGTAGATCTTGGTGTCTAGTTTTCAAAACATCGAACCATTTCTCATTTGGAGTTTTATACAAAAGGTTATATCTATTATACTAGAGGCTATTTGAGAAGAGTTTGGAAATGGCTTTTGAAAATTTTGTTCATCGTGAACGCAATGGGGGGCTCGTGAACGCGAAGAAGGGTCGCCTGGGCAGTGTATAAGTTTAAAAAAATGGGTTTGGATCATTTCATCTCATTTCCTCCATGAGAGTCGACCTAGGAGCGATTTTGTAGCTCCATTTTCATCATCCATATCAAGGTAAGTGCTTCCCACATATTGCAAGTTAAATACTTAGATTATATCTAGAATTTTACATGGAAAATCATGAGAAATTAGTGGAAATTTGGGATTTTGAACAAAAACCTAGAACTAGGTATTTTTTTTTAGATTTTGACCACGATTTTGGGCATGAAGTTGAGAATAAATTATATATTTGAGTTCGTGAGATTATGCGTAAACTTTATCTTCGAAGAATTTTGGAATCCGGGCACGTGGGCCCGTGGGTGATTTTGTCAACTTTTCAAGCAAAGTTAGAAATTTATCAAAATTGAATTGTTGTGAGTATTAGAGTATATATTTATGGATTTTCTCATTTATTAGCTAGTTTTGGAGCGTTGTGCATCGATTTGAGTCATGGGAAGGTCTTGGAAGCCGGTTATGGAACTTCGGAGCGAGGTAAGCCTCCTTTCTAACCTTGTAAGAGGGATTTATCCCCATAGGTGAACTAAGTTATTATGTGCTTCTAATTGTGGGGGGCTACGTACGCACGAGGTGACGAGAGTCTGTACATAGCTACTAGCTATGCCTATGTCCGGGCAGTTTTAGGCTTACATCGTGCTTTGTTGATATTGTTGTTAATTTATGTTATCGTTGTCTTGAGAAGAAACGAGATTAGGTTTGCTTAATAATTGCGATGAAAGGAATTTTTATTGAGAAATTTATGATTTTAAGGGTCTCCATGAAACTTCGTTTTTTTTGAAAGAATTGAGAAATATTATAATGACTTAAGAAATCTATGTGTAACCGCACCGCATGTGCACTTCGCAAGCGGGGAAATCTCTTTAAAAGCTTCATGTTGAATTGTCCTTATTTTGAAAGGAACCAAGAAAAAGGATTTTGATTTATTAATAAATTATATTTGACCGTGTTGAATGTATAATTCGCGAGTAGGGAAATTCCGTAAATAATATTTGACCGCGTCACACGTATGATTTGCGAGCGGGGTATTTCATTATACTACCCTTATGGGATCGGGCCATTCGCCTTGGTAGGTTAATAGATGCAGGTTCGTGCCGGTCGACCCTCGGTAGTGCAAAATTTACTTTTATGTTGGATCGGGCCGTACGCCTCGACATTTCCAATATATATATNATATGCTCCGGTTACGGAGGGAACTTGCTAGTTGAGAGATTGAGCAAAAATTGTAAATGAGGGAATTGTACCACGTATTTAATACATGTTTATCTCATGTATTTGCTCTGTGTCATATTTATTCACTTATCTACAATATTTGATATTATTGGACCACTAGTAAGTGTTGGAGTCGACCTCTCGTCACAACTTCTTCGAGGATAGACTGGATACTTACTGGGTACGCATTGCTTTCGTACTCATACTATACTTGCTGTGCATTTTTGTTGCACATGCACATGTATGTCTAGGGGCCTTGTTGGGCGCAACAGCATGGTGGATACGTAGACTTAGGTGAGCTGCATCTCTTGAGACGACTCGCAGCCAGCAGAGCCTCATTCAGAGTATTATATTTTCTTTTCTGTCCAATTTGTATTCTGGACACTTATTGTATTACATTTTAAATTCCTAGAAATTGCTCATGCACTTGTGACACCCAGTTCTAGGGCGAGTATGGGATTTTTTAGTATTTAAATTGGTTAAGGACATCATTATTTACTAAGTGAAGTTCATTATATATTGTTTAATGTAAAGAAAAGAAACAATTTCAAAAATACTGAAATGAGAATTTAGTTAACTTTTTGGTGTTGGTTTGCGTGACAGTGGTGTCCGGTGCCATCACGACCTTTAATAGATTTTGGGTCGAGAGGATATAGGGTTATTAGAAACACTTCCCTTCTATTTCCTCATTGTGCGGTTTGATTTCCTTGAGGCTTATGTCTTCATTTCCTTCCCATTCAATCTTATGCAACGTGAAACGATGGTTTTAAATCGGGAATCGAGGAATTGTAATGGTACTACAGCTGTGGTGCATGATATTTCCTCATACATATTTGACTGGGCAACAAAGGATGAGGAAGGGAATGTGGGAAGTGTCTTGTGGTGATTAAACTCTTAGAAGGCCAAGTGTGGGAAACAAGAGTCGAGTAGTTGCTTAAAGGAGTGAGTTTGACCAAAGTGGGAGAGTGGCAGAGCATCACATGGGTTATGTGGTAGGATGACTACACACCTTGAGATGAGTTTAGAGTGAATTGGGATTCACGGTGGTCAGTAACTGGGTCTACGGGATCGATTTGAAATATTGGCTGTCATACGGCGAGAAATTGGGTGCAACAGAAAAGAGTTGCTTGATATGAAGAAGGATACAACATGACTTTGGATTGGAATTTATTGTCGTGCCTTTAGTTGATGTCCATGAGGAGTGAATAGACTTGTGCAACTAGTAAGTGAGCATGGTTCATGATGGGTTACTGATTTTGTAGTAGTTGGGCAGTTCAGCGTCATTGGGAGATGTTGGCATATAATTTTCATAGATGGGTTATCTCTTGTGAGAAAGTCAGCAGTCGCGTGGTTGGCAAAGTTTCTATGAAGGATTTTACTGGCTATCTAGTAAGAGGTCGAATATGTGGATGTTGCTAGAGAGCCAGAGTGTTCATGAAATGCTAACGGAAGGATTTCGAGGAATTTGGCGGTTTGATTGCGCAAGATCATGTCAATAAGAGATAAAGGAACTTTGTGGGTTCCAGGGTTGTGTATAGTATCTTCAAGCTAAGTGGGAGAGTCCCACCACCTACGATTGGGTTGCATGGTCGTCTATTTATGAGATTTCGGGTTATTGGTATATTGACATGATATTATGACTAAGGAAGAGGGTCAACAATAGTGATTTGAGCAAAGAATTTGAGGAATGCATGCTATAATTGGCCTTATTGATTATATTCGGGACCATTTCAGAGTGGGTGGCTCTCAAAAACGGTCCTAGTGGATTCAAAGGTTAAAGTGTGGTACCTAAGGATTTTGAGTCCATAAGTATGGTTAAGAATCAATCTTTTGCAGCGGATTATGAAAAGAGGCTTGGAATGTT